GGCAAAAAAATCAAGAATTTGCTCATCCAAGAAGCAGATGTCACCTTCCATGAATTGGAGCCAACACGTGATTCATCTCTCATCTCATCTCACCCCCACAGGCAGCGCCTCCCTTCCAGCACAGGGACAAGACATCACCCAACCTTCACCACTTCCACACCGTTCCCACAATCAGGGGCAGGATTTGAGCAAAAATTGGGCTAAAAATTGTCCTGTAAGCACCATGTTTGATAACGAGGCAGCAGCACCACAAAAATTCCCAAATTTCAGTCTTGGCATCGCGATGGAGGGACCAGAACGTCCCTGGATCAGAGGTGAGAGATTCCCTTGGGAATCACATCACAAAATTGAGGTTTTTGTGGGATGGAGAGCGAGGTTTGGGGACTTTTAAAAGGAGCATAAAGCTGAAAAAAATCTGCCCCCAAAGATGATACCCAAAGGCAGGGAGACAATGAATCCCATGGTCAAAGCAGYGCCTGAAAGGTCAGGAAAAGTGGGAAAAGGAAAGGTGGGAAAGGTGGGAAAGGGAAGCTCCCCCTCCAAAATAAATGAGGGGATGGGGGACAGAGTTGTTTTGGGACTGTCCTGTGCATTTCTGAGGTGTTTTGGTCCATCCCAAGGAAGGGCAGGAGATGGATCAGCACCTCTGTCCCCATTCCCTGCACTGGGAATGCCGGACTGGTTGAGCATCCCAAGGTGAACTCATCGCTGCCCTTGCCGCCAATTCAGGAAGGAAATCCCCTTCTCCCAACTCCTCCTGACCCATTCACAAACTTCCGGCCTCCTTAACCTCCTGTACCTAAAACATGAACATCTTACAGGGCCAAAAAGCAAAAAAAATTCCATGTGCCACTGCTACAACCCACTTTTGGGAGCACATTTCCAGAGCTGACAGCTCTGCACCAGCACCTCCAAAGATGAGCTGAGCTTTGGCAGCAACTGAACTCCTTCCCATTTTCCCCATTTTCCTCATTTTCTCCATTTTCCCCATTTGTTTGAAAAGGAAAGAGAAGATTTCCAATTCATGCGAGAGCTGCAGGGTGAGAGGATGCGCCTCGCTAATTCTAAAGCCTTTTTATTCCCAAATATTGTGACTGCGAGCTCGCATCTATCACGCTCATTTTGATGGGGTAAATAATGAAAGCACCTTCAAGCCTCTAATTTTACACTGACTGCGATTCCCAATTCCAAAGACAGCCCAAAAAAACAGGAATAGAAACTAAACCAGTAAAAGAGAAACACGCCCTTCTCCATTTCTAACTTTGAGAACCTCAAAATTWARAAAAAAAAAAAAAATCAAAATAAACTCTTCCACAGCTTCACRTTTGCTCAAATCAGCATTTTTTAACATAAATGCCAAAACTGCTTCTAGGCCCAGGGGTCAATGTAGGACAACACATTTTTAATGATTTGCAATCAACAAGCAGCCCCCCCTTCTCCAGCAGGAAAAATAACCAAGCACCTAATTGCAAAACAATATCTTAATTGTCAATTTTAATCTAGGTTTCCTACTCAGATTTAAATCTTTTTTTTTTTTCAAATTGCATTGATTTAACTCAATCAACCCTGCCCGAAGGCCATCTTTCCTGCATGCTCTGAGCATACCAAGCAAGTTTGAACCAATTAGATAAATCACTGAATCTCATAACTTCCTAGCAGAGACAGATCAAGCCATGCACAAGCCCTAATTATTCTTTTAAACACACATTATCGCGAAAACTTTGCAAAAATAAGCAGCTCGGGAGAGGAGGGGGGCATTTCACCATCCTTTATAATTTTTTTTTTATTTTTTTTTGAACCTAGGGCACATGATGGGCTGAACCCCAGCCAGATGAATTCTGCAGAGGTCACTGCAAACCCCACTGTTGAAATCTGTTTATTATTTATTAAAAACGATGGGAATAACGCTGCTGGATGAGTTTTTTATTCATTCCTGAGCATTTTCTCTGTGTGTGTGTGTGYGTACACCCACACCCACACTGCAGCCTCGAGGTGTTACACTCAGCACGGCGAGGAAGAAAAAAACCAAAAAACTGGGAATATCACGGACTCACCCCCAGCAAAATCCTSAATAATGGAAGTTTCTAGCACAAATGGTTTGCTGGGGGACCCTCGAGCACAGTCCCCCATCAGTGGCAGTGGAAATATGCTCCTCTGACACTGCCCAGATTGTTCAAAGATTCCCATGACAGGCGGAGGATTAAAAAGCAATTCCCTGCCTCTCATATTTCACATGCAAAGCCGTCTTGCAGAGCGGCGGGCAGGAAAATATGGATCTCCCCGAACTCGAAAATGGGAATGTTCTGTTAAAAAAAAAAAAAAAAAAAAAAAAAAAAAAACCCTGCAAATTCCAGGCAATCTGCAAACGATTTCCCTCTTCCCCACCCAAACATCCACTGCGAACTCCTACAATTGCGAGGCAGGGCTGCGACAGCCGAAAAGGATGGAAATAAAACCCGTTCCTTACCTTTCACTTGAGTGTCGTATTCGGCTATGATCTCCTTATCCTTTTTGAATTTTGCTGGCGACGTCATGTTTTCTTTTCCAAAAACCTTAATAGCCTCGGAAAGAGATCCACCAGAAGGCGAGAAATAAAGGCAATTCCGCTCCTCTCAGCACGATGCCTCGGCTTTCTGCCCGTCCTTCCACCCTCCCCCCCCCGTCCCCGCAAAAAGGGGAAAAAAATAAAAAAATCAGTCCATGGAGAGAGGGTGTGAGAGGGAGCACAGCAGCAGGAAAATGCAGATGTTGAGATCAGCGGATGGAAGAGGCAGCAGTTTTGTCTCCCTGCACCAAATCCTTGAGCAGCAGCATCAGCCTGGCGAGATCCTGCAGCCCCCAAAGGCTCTTCCTGATCCTTAACAGCACAGCCAGGGAGTGGAAGTCCTTCCGCACATGTTTTGTGTGGGTTTGGTTTGCCTTTTTTTTTTTTTTTCCCGGTTTGCCTTTTTTTTTTTTTT